AAAAAAAAAAGATAGGTCAGCAGACTAAGTGCCTACTTAGGCAAGTGCAGGGACTGGGTTCCATCTCCTGGCACCACATGCCTCACTGGCCCCACCCCTGGGCGCGTGGAGCCAGCCACCAAGACCTGGAATGCTGGTGCACACCTATAATTCCAGCACTGGGAGGCTGAAAACAGGAGAATCACTGTGAGACCGAGCTGCATACTGAGACCCTGTACCAAGTACATAAATAAATAATCTTTTTAAAAAACGAAATAAATTTTAAAAATGTGATTAAATAAATATTATTCAGTAAATTAATACTGTACAACTAGCTAACTATTTGAAAAAAAAATAAAGCTATATAAGGGCCAGTCTGATAGCTCAGTGGACTAAAGTGCCTGCTTAGACAGAGCGTAGCGGGCGGGGTCAATCCCTAGCATGCTGTGCTGGCCCTGCCGGGGCGTGCTGAGACAAGATTGAAACTAGGTGTGGTGGCACATGCCTATAATCCTAGCGCTTGGGAGGCTGAAAGCAGGAGGATTACTGTGAGTCCATTCTACATAGTGAGACCCTGTAGACCCTGTCCTAAATACAGAAAATAAATAAATAAATAAATAAAGCTAAGTAATTTACTTTATTCCTTAAACAAAAAGTAAATTCTGTGTAAATCAGATTTGCTTTATTATGGGTTTGCAGATTTTCTTGCTCCTTTTTTTTTTTTTTTTTTTTTTTGCAGCTACCATAGTGTAAATAAGGTTTGCTTTGCTTTGCCCTTCCACCCTAAAGTGTCAGCCAACTGTTTTTTTTTTTTTTTTTGTGGAACCGGGGATTGAACTCAGACCCTTGCACTTGTTAGGGAAGCGCTTATTCCACCGAGCCATCTCCTTGGCCTCTTGCAGATTTTCTTGACAGGGTCTTTCTATGAAGGTAGTTCAGGCTGGCCTTGAACTCACTGTGTAGCCCAAGCTGGCCTTAGACTCAAAGCAATCTTCCTGCCTCAGCCTCCTCAGTGCTGAGATTACAAGTTTGCATCATCACACCAAGTTTGTGAATCAGATTTAAAAGGAAAAAAAAAAAATCCTGTCAAAAGAATATGGTAAAGCCAGGGAGATGGCTCAGTGGAATAAGCGCTTCCCTGGCAAGCACAAAGGCCTGAGTTCAATCCCCAGTTCCGCAAAAAAAAAAGAATATGGTAGTGCACAGCCATAATGCCAGGTCCTTGGAGGTAGAGGTAGGAGGGTACTAAAGTCAAGCACAGCCTGGATAATTTAGTGACTTGGAGAGATCCTGTCTCAAAAAATCAAACGGTGGGGGCCTGGGAGATGGCTCAGTAGAATAAGTGCTTGACTGGCAAACACAAGGAGCTGAGTTCTGCAAAAAAAAAAAAAAAAAAATCAAACGGTGAGGGATGTAGCTCAGTGTGAAGGCTCTGGATTCAAACCCAATACCACAAAACACAACGCAGCACAGAATAACATCAAAACACTTGCTGACATGCCAGACAGAAATCTGTATATTAGGCTGGGGAGATAGCTCTGTAGAATAAGCGCTTGCCTGGCAAGCACAAGGGCCTGAGTTCAATCCCTGGTTCCGCAAAAAAAAAAAAAAAAAAAAAAAAAAGAAAAAAAGAAATCTTTATATTAAAAAAAAAAACAACAAACCCAACTTGGAACTAAAATTTTTTCCCAAGTATAATACAAAGCCTGAGACCTAGATTCTACAAGGAAAAGGGTCAATATATTTAGTTTTGGAAATTATAAAGGAACAGACAAATCTATAGAGAAAAAGAAAAATGACAAACTAGAAGAAAATATCTGTAATGTGGCTGAAAGGTAATTTTCACAATGTAAAAATCTATTTTACAAATTAACACTGAAAAGTAGAAAAAGAAGCAAAAGATATAAACAGACCCCTGGCAAGAAAAAATACAAGTGGTTCATAAACATAAAATGCAAGCTATACTCAAAGTTAAATAAATACTTAAAAGCATTTTTTAAAGTATCATTTTGCCTAAATGAAAAAGTTCAATAATACCCAGAACCAGAAAATATGTAAGGAAACACTACCACTCCATACCCATGATGAAACATAAACTAGGGCCAACTTGCATAGAAATATATAATGAACTGTCTAAGGTTTTTAAAATTTTTTTAGTTCCAGGGATTGAACTCAGGACCGTCCCATGCCAGGCAGGCACTTATGCCGCTGAGCTATCTCCCTGGCCCTGAACTGTATAAGTTTTGACCCCAAAATTACACTGCCAAAAACATTGTAGTTTTGCTGAATTCATGCACCTACGATATTTAAATGGCGATGGCATACCCATCTCTGACAAAACTAAACAAAAAAAGGGGATATAAACGAAAGACCATTTTGTATCTGTATATACAAAATAGGATAGATATACAGCTACTTTCTCTTAACTCAATGAGAAGAAAGATTTGTACTAATAGTGTTTGGACAGGATATCATGTCTGCATCTTGTACTATGAATAACTACTATGAAGACAACAATATGCAAT